ACAACCACCACAACCACCACAACCACCACAACCACCACAACCACCACAACCACCACAACCACCACAACCACCACAACCACCACAACCACCACAACCACCACAACCACCACAACCACCACAACGACACCGACACCGACACCGACACCGACACCGACAACGACAACGACAACGACTACGACAACGACAACGACTACGACTACGACTACGACAACGACAACGACACCGACACCGACACCGACACCGACACCGACACCGACACCGACTCCGACACCGACACCGACACCGATACCGATACCGACACAGATACCGACGACGCCGACGCCGACCACGACACCGACACCGACACCGACACCGACAACGACAACGACAACGACAATGACAACCACAACCACAACCACAACCACAACCACAACCACAACCACAACCACAACCACAACCACAACAACAACAGCAGCAGCAGCAGCAACAACAGCAACAGCAACAGCAACAGCAACTGCAACTGCAACAGCAACAGCAACAGCAACAGCAACAGCAACAGCAGCAGCAACAACAACAACAACAACAACAACAACAACAACACGGGTTTTTCATTTTTGGCGCCAAACGAATCCAGAGGCCCGGCGCTGGCGCCAGGCTCTGGCCTTGCTAGCGCAGCACCCAAGGATGGGAAGCGGAAAAAGGGTGGCTCCCGGCCATCCGGTTCCTTAGCCTTTTTAGCAGTTTCGCTTGTTAGTGTTTTTCATGGTTTTTATTTAACCCGCTAGTTGAAGTTGTGGGGGATCTGAGGGCAGAAGCTTGTTTAGCTGTTCAGATGTGCTGCCACTTCTGTATTGGGAGCTCCCTTCTACCAGGGGAATGCTGGAGAGGAAGTTGATCTTGCAGGAACCCTCCAGGTGCTGTTGTTTGGTGGGAGGTTCTGGCATTCCTTAAACAACCCCAACAGGGGGGGCTTCAAAAAAGGCAGACCTATGCGGGACGTGTGTAAAACAAATTCATGAGATTAGAGACATTACAGAAGAAACCCAGGTGCAGGTTCTCAAAATGGTGATTCGAACCAAAAGTGGTTCGTAATTGTTGACCGGGAAGCCATCAGGCAACCCACCATGGCAGGGGACCAGTACTTAGTACTTGAACAGTGTCACAAAAAGTGGTCGTGAACAAACAATACATAGTAAAAGGTCGTGAAAAAGAGGTTGTTGGTTTTTTGCAGCAGGGGTTTGACCCAAGTTGTGTAAACGGTTAGTACAGCAAATATTTAAGCAACCTGTGAACCGAAAGGGCTTGTCTCAAAATAGATCCGCACAACAGGGGGGCAACCTCTGGTTTCTTTTGAATCAACTTCCAAACAGGTAGCCTCAAAACAGGACACCCATAAAAGGAGGATTGTTACATGGCTGTGGCTCAAAAACATGTACCAAAATGGCACCTTGGCAATGGAACCAAAGACCAAAACCTGCGTAACCCTAGCTCTTTATTTTTGAGCCACACATTGTTTAGACAAGGGGCTTCGTCGTGACCGTAGGCCCTCCCTGGTGACCCTCAACGCGGCACTCAGTGCGCTGGGCACGCGCTGGCAGCAGGCGCTGGCGCTGGCAGGTGCAACTGAAAAGCAAAGCGCGGGAGTACTTGTACAGAGAAGAGTTATTGTACGCATAAATCTATACAAATATATTACATCATGAGGCCGTAGTGAAAAGGTTGGTATTTGGGATATGTCTCGGAGTTGAATAGGGCAAAAATATCCATGCTTGAAATCTCTAGTGTGCTAACTGTACATATGGGTTTGTCTCCAAGGAAACCCCCAAAATGGGTGGGTTATTTTTGTGTGGTTTCCTTTTGAACTCCGACCATGTGGGCCCAGTGCTTTTAACTTGCGCAATATGTGGGCGTCAGCTTTAATTAAGGGCCCTTTGGTGGACTTCATTTAGGTTGGTAGACCCACATCATGGGATAGTGTTGGTTCCCCAACCCAGTTGCCCAGTGGTCCCATTTCCTTTTTTTTCCATGGAAATCCCCTGGGCAGCTGAGCCAAAACGTCTTCCGCGTTTCGAAGGTTTTGGTTTCGTCAAGCCGCTGAGGTGCCATGGCCGGAGGTCGCTTGGCGCTGGACCACGTCACCTCCGCGGCCCTAGTCGCTAGCTGCTCGGGCGCCAGCGCGGTGCAGGCGGCGCTGGAGCTGGCGATGTCGGTGACGTCGGGCACCCCGCGGGGAGACTTGGCCGGAGGTGAGGTGCAACGGTCCCCCAGCTAGATGCCCTTTTACCGTTTCTTTTTTGGGGGAGGGGTTGCCCTGCTAAAATAGACTACAGAAAAAGGGTACCCTTATTATAGCAGAAGTGAGGTGCAACTCACCCACAGCTTCGGATTCATTGGCGGCGGATACAACGTGATTGCGGCCCAAAGTGCTTACCATTCCAGGCGGTTATTTTAACTCGGTGGGGGGTCAGATCTGATCTGCGCTTCGGACCGAGCAGCGAATTTCGGGGGGTGGGGGGCTCCA